CCGCTGCTTTAAGACGACTGGTTCTGGTAAGGTCATACAACCTTCTTTCTTTTATTTCACAACCCAATAAAAAAATAATGCCAAAAAAGTGATTATTTTTATTTCCCAACGAATATCTACTTTTTTATGATTTATATATATTTTTTTGTCTATCCCAATATTCACTGGAAGTATATATGACTTGTGGACAAAAAAAAGTATATATGATTTTACTGATTATTTATAAGTTCGCGTCCAATTAACTCTCTTATTAAAATAATAAAGTAGTTTATTAACTACAAAATAACAATAAATTATTTTCGATAATCTTATTTTAAAACAATACTTTTTGAACAAAAAAAAAAGGAAAAACAATACTTTTCAGGTAAAAAATCACTAAAATTTTATCATAGAAATTATGATATACTCATTACATTTGAAATGGGGACCCACGTGAGCATATATACACATTGCTGTATGGCTGGAAATAATGGGCCCCACACAAAAGCCCAACTATAGTGGGATCCACTTAGCCGCCTATGTACCTTTTGTTAAAGTTGGACGGTGTGATGATCGTCCGATTACTTCTCGTTGACCATTGCGGTGGTTTCAGATATATACTACTCCCTCTCTTTCCCTCTGAAATGTTTGTAAATTACAATAACGCCCCCGTTTAATTGGTATGTTTGTTTATTAAATTGGGCTTACGGCCCAAAGCCCATATAGATTTCGTCTTCGAAGAGAGAGAGTGAGCTCAGGGAAGCTATCGCAATCTCGGAGAAGTGGAGGAGAGAAGACAATGGCGGCCAAAACCCTAATCAGGTCAGGAGCTTCGCTAATGAATCGGTTTTTATCGAAGCCGACGACGACGACCAACCTCGTGCAGAACAATCTCAGATCGTTTCAGCAGATAGCTCCTCCTCAGAGACAAGAACTCCCGCCGTGTTTTTTCCCGTCGTTGACGAATCTACAGAACTCTCTCAGTTCGCGCCCTAGTGACACTGTTACGCTTCAGGAGCTTACAGAACGTGGGTTTCTTCACCCATCTGGTCTTCCTTCGCTCGAGTTCTTCTTACCAGAAGGTACTTGTGCTCTCTTACCTCCCGCATTTGAGTGTATCTTGTCATTTGCTTAGATTGGTACTTGGTCTGAATCTTACTGGGCTGTATGAAAATGATTATTGGGTTATCATGATGATTGAACATTAGTTCAGGTGTTGATCAGTGTTCTGTTTCTTAGAATGTTTAAAGATTTGATTTTTGAGGGAGCACATGTGCTTACACGTTAGAAGCAATAATAAAAATAGAACCTTTTACTTGGTTCTATTCTTTGTTTATGGTGTGGTGTTTTTGGGTTTTGATACGGGATCATGGCGAGTTATAAAGTGTTTGTATGAGGGTGAAGAATCTAGCTATGTGGTGCAGAGTCTAGAGAATTTCGATCTTATTGAGCTTTAGTGCCTTCAACGTTGCTCAATTTGCTGTCCTAACGGTGCCTGCCTAATATATTTGAACTTTTGTGATGTAGTCGATCCATCAAGTGAGCCATTGCTTTTATTTCCCAAGAGGACATTCCAGCCTAGTACTATCAGGCGCAAACGGAACCATGGATTCTTTGCTCGGTATGTCTCTTTGTTTCAGTCCAAGAATAAAGTCTCGTCGTTTATGTTCTTATGAAAAATCATTGCTCTTTTCTCATTCTCATTGGAGATATTTGTTGTTAAGCATTAATAGAAAGTAAGAAGATAATTCATCATTTGTATATAGTGTTTGATCGACTAAATTGTGTACTCGTTTAACTAGTTAAAATGTCTGAATATGAACAGAAAAGCAACCAAAGGTGGACGGAGAGTCATAGCTCGGAGAATAGCCAAAGGGCGTCACAGAGTCACTGCCTAGAATCTCATTATACTTTTTTTATGAATCTCTGGTTTATCAGATAGGCCGGATAAGTATCTTCCGTGTGTCTTTCCAGGCTAGATAATCTGAAACTTCGATCTTATAAATAACTTGGATGTACTAATAATATCCATGTTTTGATTTGTTGTTGAATCTAGGAGTCGAATTGGAAGTTACAGATCTCAGCATCTTTTGTTTTTCAACAACTTTTTAATGGTTACTTTACATCAATGAATACTTTTTCTACATGATGCTTAGTTACATATATCCTCCACACATACGTGTTTGTATGTGTTCATTAGTTGTGTATAAGGACGACGAACACTTTGTTTATAGAGTGATCTCTAATCTTACAAACTGACACGACTATAACCTGAAGAAGAACTAACAACATTTATGGAAAATTTAGAATAACGTTTCAGACTCCGTGTGAGCTTCGCACTAACTAAACTAAAAAATAATTGATTGTCAGATTATAAGAACTTCACAGACCATGTTCTAAAAGTAGAAATGTAACCTATCCATTTCCATCATTTATTCGATCTGACACCATCAAGGCAAGCCTTCTGCCTACGCTTGCAGCATGAATATAACTCTTGTCGAACACGTTTACTAGCTTCTACTAGTTTATTTCTTTTATTGCTAGTAATGGAAAGGAGGCCATACAGCTAAAAGAATGGCTCTGCAGTCTATGCAAAACAAAAGAAAGAGGATGGAAAGGCTCATACTCTTTCTCTCTACTATTCTTATCTGATTTTCTGATTCAAATATTTACTTCATGCACCCAGTCATATCAGAAAAGTTGTTCAGTTAATGAGTTGTAAATCCCAAAGATTTCAATAACTTTAGAAAAGAAAAAAACGAGAAAACTTGCTCATAGGTTAATCGGTTTACTTTATTAAAAAAAAAAAAAAAGGCAAGAGTTAAGATCGGTAAGAAAATAACTTCACTTGTCCCATACGCAACAACCTTGCCTATGTTGTAGGCATTAGGCCTAAGCCCCTCTAAAACCCACAAGCTTCTTTAGTTCTTCTTATCCCTCTTCTTCCTCTTTCAAGCCTCTATAAAGTCATCATCCACATCAAGTTATCTTCATCACGAGAATGGGAGAAATAAGAAAGTGGTATCTGGTTATAACGGCACTGATACAAATAGTGAGCTGGGTGTGTGCAACAAGCAGACCCATTGCTTCCAGTCATGTTTCTTTTCATCCAGGTTTGATTTTTCTTTCCTTTTAACATTTCCAAGTCTACTAATCAAAACCATTACTATGTATGCATATATTGTTGTTACTAATACATGTGGATGTTTGAGTGTGAAGAAGATACTTTGTTTAGTTTCTGTTTTGTAAAACAAGAGTAGGTTGAATCTTTAATGCTTTTACCTTTTAAGCAAATTAATGACTTGCAGTGATGACTATTTGAGAGTCTAAACCGTTTGGTTAAACCACTAAACCGAATGAGAATACTGGGTCTGCAGGGACATTAAGCCCCCAGGCTGCAGAACAAAACTCAAGGATGCCTATATTGAAGACCACTGAGAGAACAGAGGTAGGAGAGATGGAGAAAGGGAGGAGAATAGGATCAAAGCCACCAACTTGTGAGAAGAAATGCTATGGATGTGAGCCATGTGAAGCAATCCAAGTCCCTTCCATTTCTTCAGTTCCTCACCTCTCTACTCACTATACTAATTACCAACCTGAAGGTTGGAGATGCCATTGTGCCCCTTAATTAATAATCACTTCTTATTCCTTAATTTGACACAATTAACATATGTTGTATATTCACATGCCTCTCTTTTGAATAATTGTCAACAGCATTGTGGACTTCTAATATCTATTTCTAGCTATTTCATTTTTAAAGAGTCAAAGTTATTTAAAAGGAGAAACATTTATCAACTTATCGGCTATCGCTATACCATTTTGAGCATAGTATGAAGTATAAAATGATACTTATGACTACAACATGCTCTCCCAAGCAGAAAGCACTTGTAAGATTGATTCACCACAAGTCCTAACAATACCTTCCTATTGTTGATTAATATCACTTATGTTTTATTTGGTTTTCTATGTAACGAGGCTAGCAAAGAAAGTTACTGTAGAATGTAATATGTGTGGTATGTGATATAAATTTTCACTACAGATTCTTGTATATAGTATTGTAAGAAAGTATCGTTTTTAGATGTATGGTCATATTCATTTATCATCTGTCTCATTCAAAGACTATATCATAATATGATCAATTACAAGAGATATTTAACACTCAGCAAGAAGAGATTCATTGATTTTGAGTTTTACATAATATATAATATTGAGAAAGAAAGCATGGGAGAGAACATACTTTCAAGAAATACCGATAACATCTTTGAACCATTTGAAGCTTTTTCTGATGGATCCTTTCATCTTCTGTTCAACTGAGTAAACCTTATAGCCAGCGACTCTTCTCTTCCTACGCGTCTCTGGATCGCTGAAACTCCAGCTTCTTGACGCCGCGTTTGAAGCGCTTTTGCTTTTCTTTATCTTCATCTGGTAATCGTTTGACTGATCAGCGGCTGAATCGTCGAAACTGTAACCTTTCACCACAACTGCGTCTCGGCCGTTTCCAGACGCGGCTGTTGGTTCCATTTCTTTGTAAGAATTCTCCATGGTGGCTAGGCTTTATGGTTTGAAACTTTGAGTTTTGGTCTGATGACAATTGACAAAGAGTCGTCTCTGTTTTTTTGTAGTGGGTTGTCTTTTTAAAAAGTTATAAAAGGAAATAAACGAAATGATTGTTTATTTTTTTCAAATTATTAAAGGTATCTTTTTGGGAAATTAATTTACAATTCTCATGAGGAGTTGTTCTTTGACACCACTCCACTTGGTGTTTTGTTTATTTCTTCTTTAACCAAAGCAAAACAGTTAAGTTATACAGATTACAAATAGCCGAAATTTGGTTTAAATCATTGGACTTGTCAGCTATGCTTGTCGTGGTTAGGTTTGTGTGGATGTGATGCTTTCCCAACCTATTCTGCTCTAGTCGGCACGCCGGTTTGTCCAAACCGGTTATTTCTCACTGCATAAATTAAAGAAGAAATAACTTGTGTTACTTTTTATTTAATTCAGTAAGGTTTTTAATTTTCGCGAGAATTTTATATTTTTATTATAAGAGGATTTCGTGAAGAAACTTTGCAGAACTTTCAGACTGTTAAAGAATAAAGAAGGTTGTAACTCTCATTGTATTATTAATCACGTGGTTACACATATATATATACATACAAGAGAATAAAGCATATTCCTTAGGAGATAAGGATTGCTACAAATAAAGGGGATGATTATCCTAATCCTATAATGATTAGGATAACTACAATAACAAGGATAAATACAAGGAGCTTGAGTGTGGAT